AAGAATGAATGCGGGTTTTCATCCTGTTGTTGTGGTTCCTGTACTCTAGAGTTTGTGCTTCTAAACCTAATCTCATATTTACTATAGATCTCATATATTTTTGCCTTTATTATTGAAAATTGGTCCGTATAAGTGATGCCTAAAAATTCACATACGTTTTCTAAACCACTTTTTAATCCGTCTAATTTTAATCTAGGATAAAAAATTGTACCTAAACCATATAACAAAGGTAACTTAGACCAATATTTTTAAAATTTTTTTTCCATAGAATGAACAGGAACTCCTAAGATTGGGTCCTCCCTATATTCGTGAAATAAAATACTAATTCTTAAAAGTTCTCCTAAAGCTAAAGGTGATGTTGGGTAGTATGTTCCACTAAGTTTTAGAGTAACTTCATGAAACCTACCTAAAAATTGATACAAAACTTCGGCAATTTGCCAATCAAATTCATCTATATGTCCTACTCCTAATTTTGCACACATATAGTTTGTTATAGCATCCTTATAAGGGATGCATTGTTGAAGCATAATATAAGTTGAGTTCCATCTTATAGGCATATCTAACGCTAATGCTCTAGGAGGTATATTTAATGCTTGTAAAAACCTAAACCAATCTTCTTGTCTTTGGTTACTACCTTGAATCCATGCAAGACTATATCTAATTCTTTTAATGTGATTACCCATTTCTTTTAAACCGGATTTAACTATTAAATTGATTACATGACATGCACAACGTTGGTGGAAAATAGTACCGTCACCGAATAGACTTAAATCATTTTCAAAAAATTCAATTGCTTTTGTATTGGCACTAGCATTATCTAATGTTATAGCCATTACTTTATCTCTTAAACTAAATTCATCAATTACATTTAAAATCGTGTTATATATTAAATCTGCGCTATGTGATCCTAGAACACATTTAAAACCTAATATTCTCTTATCTAAATCAAATCCTTTAAAGTAATGTCCGGTTACAGCTAAATAATCTTTATGGGCAATGGCAGACCAAATATCTGCCGTTAACGCAACGCACCCGCTAGTCGAGTGTAAAAGGTTTATTAATGCATCTTTTTCTTTTTTAAATAATTTTAATAAATCTTTCCTAAGAGTAGTTTTTGAAGTGAACTGTGCATTAGGATTGTGTACAACCTTAATATATCGTTGCCAATTAGGATGCTCTACAAAACTAAGTGGTTGATCTAAAGCAGCTATCATTCGCGCAACTTCCATACGATCTTCTTGCGGATCGTATTTCCAAGTGGTTAGACCACCGGTTGCGCGATCAAAAGATAATTGTGTTTGGCGGAGTTCGGGTCCACTAGATTGGCTAAGCTTTTGAAGACACTTTTCAGAGTGTCGTCTCAAGTGTGTGGTGCCGTGAATAGTATCACCTTGTAATTTAGATAAACAATATTTACACTGAGCTATATGTTTAGTGTTACCTTCATTATCCACCTCGTCAATTATGTCGAAGTGATCCCAAACTGTCGAGGTACGCTTGCATTTTCTCCTGGAGGTTGCAACACTTGCCGACGCAGACGCAGTCGCACTCGCCGCCGCTTCTCCACGCCCACTATTGCGACCACGACCTCCACTACGTCCACCATGGCTTGGGTTAGTAGATTGCATTTGCTGCGTAACAAACTCATTAGTGGGAAATTGCCCTTCTTCTACATTGTGTTGGGCATCAACGGGAATACCACTATAACCAAAAGGATCCATTATAAAAAAATAAGATGAATTTGATAGACACTAGAGAGAGAGCTTTAGAAAAATTGTGAGAGAGATTGAGAGAACTTGAAAGAGATTGAGAGAGATTGAGAGAAATTGAGAGAGATTGAGAGGGATTGAGAGAGTTTGAGTGAGAAAAATATGTGGGGGGTGGGGGGTATTTATAGGGAAATTTTGGGATTAAAAAATGATTTTTTTAAAAAAAAAAGGGATAAACGGCTATTTTTTGAAATTCGGGCAGTCGGGCAGTCAGGCAACCTCGGGCAAGTCGGGTTTTCGGGCAAATTTCAAAAAACTAGCCGTTTTCGGGTATTCAGGCAACTCGGGCAGGTCAGGTTTTAGGCATAATTCGGGTAAAAATTCAAAAAACTAGCCGTTTTCGGGTATTCGGGCACCTCGGGCAGTTCGGGCAGGCGGGTTTCAAAAAACTAGCCGTTTTCGGGTATTCAGGCAACTCGGGCAGGTCAGGTTTTAGGCATAATTCGGGTAAAAATTCAAAAAACTAGCCGTTTTCGGGTATTCGGGCACCTCGGGCAGTTCGGGCAGGCGGGAAAAATTCGGGCAAAATTTTAAAAAATAGCCGTTTGAGTGATTCGGGCAGCGGGTTCGGGCATTTTTCGGGCACTTCGGGCACACCGAATTTTCGGGCATTTTTCGGGTCGGGCAATTCGGGCATGGTCAGAAAAATTCAAAAAAATCCCGGCGGATGGCGGTATACGGTGGTTAGACGGCGACTGGCAAGCGTGGACATGTTAAATTCGGGCTGCTCGAGCCCGAACCCGAAAATCTTGCTTGGGTGGGCAGGAAATGGGCTTGCCCGCCCGAGTCTGAAAAAATTCAAGCTTCAGGTAGCCCGCCGACCCGAAGTTCCAGCACTGATCAGGACGACACGCTATTAGAGTTAGCTAGATAAGTTAAGCAGGTTAGTTAGTTTGTTAAGTATATGTACAGCTCAGCAAGTTAGTTACATGGTTAAGTATATGTACAGCTCAGCAAGTTACAGCTTGCTCAGCAAGTTTGTTTCTATCCTGTATATATATCCTTTTGTATACCATTATTCAGTTGAATGAAACAGTTCAGTTTCATAATATGGTATCAGAGCGCTAATTCGTTGCTCATTATTTTTTCTCGATTCCATTGTTGTTCTTCTTTCACAAATTTGTTAAGTGTTATTCAATTTCACTCACAATTTGATCTTCTTCATCAACATTTTCTTCAAGATTGTTGAGTGTTCATTCATTTTCCCTTTTTGGTTGATTTTCTTCTTCAATTTCCATGAGAACTCCGAGATATGGCGATTCCACCTCCGCATCTGGCAAGTTCGCCATTGATGATCCTTTGAGTCCGTATTTCCTTCATCATTCTGACAGTCTTGGTCTTGTGCTTGTCTCGCAACAGTTGATTGGAGATAACTATGCCTCCTGGAGTCGAGCGATGATAATTGCTCTTTTGGTGAAGAACAAGCTCGGATTTATTGACGGATCCATTCAGAAACCTGAAGGTACTGATTTGAACCTCCTTCACTCATGGATCAGAAATAATAATGTTGTCATTTCATGGATTTTAAACTCTGTGTCGAAAGAGATTTCCGCTAGCATAATTTTTTTCTGAGTCTGCTTCTGAGATTTGGCTTGATCTTAAGGACCGATTTCAATAGAGTAATGGACCTAGAATCTTTCAGTTGCGTTGTGAATTGAAATATCATAATCAGAACCAAAATTCTGTTAGTGTGTATTTTACAAAACTGAAGACCATATGGGAGGAACTCAGCAATTATAGGCCAGTTTGTAATTGTGGAAAGTGTACCTGTGGGGGAGTCAAGCAACTTAATTTGTATTACCAAATGGAATATATCATGTCATTTCTCATGGGTTTACACGACTCTTTTTCTCAAGTCAGCGGCCAAATTCTATTAATGGATCCTATCCCGGCTATAAACAAAGTATTTTCTCTAATTTCTCAAGAAGAGGGTCAAAGGAATGTTAGCGCTTATACAAATGTTAGTGCTGATTCAGTCAACAATATGACCTTTGCTGCCAGGAGTGACGATTCCAAGAAGTTTACTAATGTTGATACTCTTAATTTTGGGGGGTATAGAGGTCAAAAGAAAGATAGACCGTTCTGTACTCACGGTAATTTTCATGGCCACACCATTCAGAAGTGCTACAAGCTTCATGGATACCCTCCTGGTTTCAAACCACGACAGAGGAATCCTCAGCAACCCAACAATAATCAAAATGTTATTGCCAATCAAATTTCTGATCAATCCAGTTCTGATGCTAAAAATTACCAAGGAAATGGGGGTATTGACAATTTCTTCCAAAATCTCAACAATAATCAATATCAATAACTGATGACAATGTTGTCTGATCACTTGGCTTCCTCGGTCAACATCAACAAGCAACAAGACGTTTCCACTGCTTCATATTCCACAGGTATATGCTCCTCTGTCTCACTAAATCCTATCTTTTCTTCCTCTAAGATATGGATAGTTGACTCGAGGGCTTCTAGGCACATTTGTTCAAATGCAAATGCGTTTATTTCTCTGAGTCCAATACAGAATTCTTCAATTACTTTGCCAAACCATACTAGTATCCCTGTCAGTTTCAGTGGTGATGTCAAATTGAATTCGAAGTTGATGCTCAGGAATGTTCTGTTTGTTCCACAGTTCAAGTTTAACTTGCTTTCTGTGAGTGCTCTTACAAGTGATACACAGTTTACAATTGAGTTCTTTCCTCATCACTTCATGATTCAGGACCTCAACAGCAGGAAGATGATTGTCAGGGGTGACAAGCTTGAAGATCTTTATGTTCTTGATGCGGGATTTTTGAGTACAAATTCTTCGGCATATGTCAATAATGTTTCTGTCAATGTTTGACATAATAGACTTGGCCATTTATTTTCCAAAAGATTAGACATTTTGAAAAATCATTTGAATTGTGACATTTCAAAGTTTAATAATGCCGACCCTTGTTATATATGCCCATTAGCTAAGCAACGAAGATTGTCTTTTGTTTCTCATAATCACATGTCTCAACTTCCATTTGATTTGATTCACTGTGACATTTGGGGACCACATCATGTGACTGCACATTCAGGACACATGTACTTCTTGACTCTAGTTGATGATTGCATTACTTGGGCATTTTTACTTAAGTACAAATCAGATGTGACTGCTATCATTCCCAAATTTTTCAATATGGTTTCCACTCAATTTAATGCTAAAATCAAGGGCTCCAGGTCTGATAATGCTAAAGAGTTGGTTTTTACTGATTTTTTTAATGAGAAAGGAGTGTTGCATCAGTTCTCTTGTGTTGACAAGCCACAACAGAATTCGGTGGTGGAAAGAAAACATCAACATTTGTTGAATATTGCTCGTGCTTTATATTTCCAATCACGGGTCCCTATTCAATTTTGGAATGAATGTGTTCTTACTGCAGCTTTCCTGATCAATAGAACACCATCTCCATTACTTAGACATCACACTCCTTATGAGGCTCTCTATAAGACTGCCATTGACTATTCATTTCTTCCGGGTTTTTGGTTGTCTTGCTTTTGCTTCTACTCTTTCTGCTCATCGCACAAAGTTTCAACCTAGAGCTCGGGTTTGTGTTTTTCTTGGTTATCCTGTTGGTGTGAAAGGCTATAAGTTGTATGATATTCAAACCAAGCAAGTGTTTGTCTCCAGGGATGTTGTCTTTCATAAGGAGGTTTTTCCCATTAATTCTGTTATTGCTAAGGATATCTTAGTTGATCCTTTCCCTGACCTAGTCCTGCCAATTCCATCTCTTGAGGTTCCCATTACCACTTCATCTTCATCCTCTTCAACTGTCCCATCTTCACCTCAGCCTGATGTTTCATCATCACCCGTTGTGGTTCCACTCAGAAAGTCTACAAGGGCTGTTAAACCTCCCTCTTATCTAAGAGAGTTTTACTGTAACTTGTTGTCTCACTGAGAACAGCCTACTTGTACCACTTTGTATCCATTATCTCGATATTTGTCCTATGATTCTTTTTCTTTGTCTCACCAAAATCTTGTCATGAATGTATCTTCTCAATTTGAACCTAGATTCTATCATCAAGCAGTTAAGTTCCCGCAATGGAGAGAGGCCATGAAAGCTGAGTTGGATGCAATGGAGTTCAACAATACTTGGTCGGTTGTTCCTTTACCAATAGGGAAACATACCATTGGCTGCAAATGGATATACAAAATAAAGTACAAATCTGATGGCTCTATTGAACGGTACAAAGCACGATTGGTTGCTAAGGGTTACACTCAACAAGAAGGTGTGGACTTTCTTGATACTTTCTCTCCTGTAGCCAAGCTAGTTACTGTGAAAGTGCTTTTAGCTCTTGCCACAAGTCAAGATTGGCATTTAGTACAATTAGATGTAAACAATGCCTTTCTTAATGGAGACTTATTTGAAGAAGTTTGTATGGATCTTCCCTTGGGTCTTGGTACTATGGGGGAGCGACTTGCACATGACAGGCCAATGGTTTGCAAGCTACACAAGTCGATCTATGGCCTTAAGCAAGCTTCAAGGCAATGGTATTCCAAATTTTCTCATGCACTCATTCAGTTTGGATTTGTTCAATCCAAATCTGATTATTCGTTGTTCACAAAAGGCTCAGGTTCCTCTTTTGTGGCATTACTGGTGTATGTGGATGATATTATCATCACAGGTCCTTGCACCACGGTCATAAATTCTTTAAAAAGCTTCCTCCAATGTCAGTTCAAACTCAAAGACTTAGGGGTTTTGAAGTATTTTCTTGGCCTGGAAATTGCAAGGTCTGTCAAAGGGCTTGTTTTCTCTCAAAGACAATATACCTTACAGTTACTTGAAGATGCAGGTTTTCTGGCTTGCAAACTTGTTTCAGTCCCTATGGATCCTAAGCTTCAGCTCAATGCCACTAATGGAGATCTTCTTACTGATGTGTCCCAGTATAGACGCATCATTGGTCGTCTCTTGTATCTCACACTTTCCCGTCCTGACATCACATTTGTTGTTCATAAACTAAGTCAGTTTTTAGCTCAGCCTCAGACACCTCATTTACAAGTTGTCCATCACCTTCTTCGGTATCTTAAAGCCACTCTTGGTCAAGGGTTGTTCTTTTCTTCCGCTTCTACCCTTCAACTCAAGGCATTCTCCGATGCTGACTGGGGTTCTTGTGTGGACTCAAGGAGGTCTGTTACCAGCTTCTATGTGTTTATAAGAGACTATTTGGTGTCTTGAAAAGCCAAGAAGTAGACAACCATTTCACGTTCTTCTGCTGAGGTAGAATATCGAGCTTTGGCTGCTACTGCTAGTGAGTTGGTTTGGCTCAGGCAATTGTTAAAGGATTTTTGTGTTGATATTTCTGCACTAGCTCTTCTTTTTTGTGACAATCAAGCTGCTCTGCATATTGCTTCTAATCTGATCTTTCATGAAAGGACTAAGCATATTGAGATTGATTGTCACTTTGTTCGCGATAAAGTTGCTGAAGGGTTCATCAGGCTTATGCCCATTCGTTCCCAATATCAACTTGCCGACATGTTTACCAAAGCTTTACCTGCTTCTTTGTTGTTTCCACTTTTATCCAAGATGGTTGTGCTTGATATTCACAGTCCATCTTGCGGGGAAGTATTAGAGTTAGCTAGAAAAGTTAAGCAAGTTAGTTTGTGAAGTATATGTACAGCTCAGGAAGTTAGTTAGATGGTTAAGTATATGTACAGCTGAGCAAGTTACAACTTGCTGAGCAAGTTTGTTTCTATCTTCTATATATATCCTTTTGTATACCATTATTCAGTTGAATGAAATAGTTCAGTTTCGTAATACACGCCGTTGTATCATTACAGTGACATGTCGTTTGCAATGAAAACGGAATGTCGTTTGAATACACATTTGCTGCTTTTTTCTAATGTTCTTCGAACGACATGTGGTATCTGGTATCCAAACGACATGACATTTGCATCGTACGGATAACCTACGCCGTGGTGCGCACACAGACATACCAGAGTCTCCTTATCCATATGATCCACTTTCGTTAAACAGACAGCTTCAGTGGCCCCAAGAACTCACTCAGAGCTCAACAATGGCGTCCTCTTCACTCACCTCCACTCTCACTCCTTCCTCTCCCTCACTTTCCTCCAAATCCACTTCTTCTTCTTCCGCCGTTATATCCTTCTCTCACAGCCTTAGGCCTTTCACTGCAAAATCGAACCTTCTCCTTCTCTCCAACAAGACCAGAACAGGACTTTCCGTCGTCAAAGCCCAGACTCTCGACTTCTCAGGCTCCTTCTTCGAGGGCGGGATCGTGTCGGACGAGGACCCGCCGTCGCCGCCCGGGCCGGGCCTAGCCGCCGTCGAGGACAAGGAGGAGCCCGAGTGCCCTCCTGGCCTCCGACAGTTCGAGACCATGGTCGTTCTCAGGCCCGACATGTCCGAGGAAGAGCGACTTGCCCTTACCCAGAAGTATGAAGAGGTAAAATATCTTTTTTTTTTTTTTTTAATTATTACATTGTGTTTAATTGCTTGGAAAATTCGACGAAAAAGAGGAATTTGTTTTTTAAGTTTTTTAATTTCATTGTTGGTGTCGTTTAAATCAATTTTCTGTTTAAAAAGCGACTTAATTTTTAGCGAGTTTAGGGGCTATCCTTCCTGATTTTAAAGTTTTAGGAGCTAAAACAAGGTTTTTGTTTTGGTAATTTAGGAACCAAATATTTGGGTTTATTCTATATGCATTTGTAGATAGATGTACACTGAGAATAACATTTAGTTGTGGGAACTGGGAACCAATAGTAACCTATGCGGTTTAACTTGTGTGGACAGAGATACATTGTTAGACTTAGAACAAAGATTATCTGGTGGGAATTGTGTTTTTGAAGTTATTTTATTTATTATATGCTTTGAAATTTGTTCTGATTTGATTTGACAATGGTAAAGAAAGGATGGGATAGTTTCTTGTATTATGCCGAATAGTGACCAGTTTGTCTAGTCGGTTTATTTTGCTACATTATGCCTTATTTGCTAAATTTTTGTGCCGAAAAATATGCTTTTCTTTTCCCATGTATCAATATAGTGCACAAACTGTATCTACTTAGGCACCGTATAATTTGTTGTTCTTTGTTATGTTCGACGATCCTTTGAAAAGTTTCTAGATTTCTACACTTGGAATCCTTATTTTGTGGTGGGATATACGTAGCCTGTGGTCTACTTTTCACAAATTGAGTAGCGAATTGTGTTACGTTATACTTTACGTGGTTAAAGCGTGAGAAATGAACATCAGTGATAGTTATTCTCTTGTTCCATGCTGCGAACCTAGCTAATGGAATTGGAGGCAAAAGTTGATTCTGGGGAAATTGCTAGACGGGGGTTTGTCTTAGTTGTCTCTTTCGATTGGAAAAGTCTTTTTGTTCTCCATACCTCCTCTCATGTTTGAATCTGGTATTCCATCTCCTCTGTGAGCATCAGCCAATAGTTTACAACGACATCCTGTTAAATTCAATGTGGAATCATTACAACATTTAGTTGGAAGAATGATGTGGAACTTACTTTACTCCAGCTCTTATGTTTTCCTTCTTTTGTGAAGGGCAAACTACCGTCTGTCATATCCAAACTGAGATAAATTTGTTGAGTGGGTGGAGCCTAAGTATTGCCATTATGCCCATCAAAATTTTAATAAGAATATTGGGGGCACCAGTTTCTGGGATTAGTTTATAGAAATATGTAGAGTCTGAGAGGCCTGAGATGTGTGATTCTTTTTTATCAGTGAAATTCTGCAGTGACTAAAAGTAGATGTAGCCTCATATTGAAAGTGAACCGCTATAAATCTTGTGTGTGCTTCATTGTTCTTCGATATTTTAATTTATTGCTCTCAACAGTAAGAATTACAGCATTCCCCAATAAAACCAAGCGGCAATATACCCTTTGCACGGTTCACCCAAATGTCCCTTGATTTTTGTTCAGAACGGATTTACAAGTTGTGTGTTTCTTGTCCACCGTATAACCACTTGGTTATTTGGTTAAACTCACTTATGAATTATCTTACATTTGTAATTCTAACTTTAGTTCTTTTGGTCAAGGTTGTGAAACTTGTTTGTAGGTCTTCCCTTGCCGAAGTTGAAACTTCTTTTTAAAGAGGGTTGTGTGCATAGTTAGAAACCGCACAAAAGACGTTAGGAAATTGTTGTCAAAGCAGCAAAAAATAAAGTTATGAACCTACACATACATGATACGTCTTAAATAACAAATTTTGGCATCTTCGCTAATGATCTGAATTTCGCAGTTGCTTGTTGCTGGAGGGGGCATGTACGTGGAGGTCTTCAACAGAGGAGTGATTCCACTGGCCTATAGCATTAAGAAGAAGAACAGAGCCGGTGAGACTAATACCTACTTGGACGGTATCTATCTCCTCTTCACCTACTTTACTAAACCCGAATCCATCGGACCTCTAGAAGAGATGCTGAAAGCTGACGATGATGTCATCCGATCAATGAGTTTGAAGATAAGGAAGAGGAAGTACTAGTTTAGTTCAATTCACTTGTGTAGCTTTCAGAGAGAGACAATTTTTGGAAAAGAGAAGTCACCTGTATGTACTGTGTAATATCATATGTTCTTGATCTGATTTTCATTCCCTTATAATTCATATTCAATTCGTTTTTGTAACATCTTTGAATTAATGAATAGGACAAAAACATGCAAAAATCATCAAGCTTGTCCTTGTTTCATGGTTTGATGGAAATGTATATTCATCTGAATAATAACCCGAACTGTAAGAGTAATCATGATCCACCCAAGTACAGAAGACTAATGGGTCAATCTCCAATTTCCCCTTCATGTCTTTTGGATCCTGTTTAATTCCACTATTTTCTGTTCTCCAAGGTTTCATATCTAGACAGTAAGATAATAATAATTAGATTGGAAGGAAATGACTATCGTTTTCTGTCCACTTTGTAACTAATATGTCAATGGTCTGAAGGTGACATTTGTCCTTTTAACAGTGGCACACTATTGGGGAACTTTTTTTTTCCTACGAATTGGCTCTTAATTATTTGGGATTTTCCTTCTGTAAGTTGGATAAGAAAAAGCTAGCTTTCTTCTCCCACTGCTAGGAAAGTGGCCAGAAAACTATATTGGTAAGGTAGAAAAAGAATTATAGTGGTGTTATTCTTGTGGGCGTGTCGTTCTCTCAAACGTTTCTCAAGGTAAAGGTATTGGAAATCACCAAAAAAAGATAAAGGTATTGGAAGAAGTTATGGTGCATCTTTTTTTTTTTTTTTTTTGGATGTACCATGTAGCCGAATTTTAGTTATTGGACGACGAAAAAGCGATTTGGGCCGTTGAAATGTAACTTTTTTTTAATAGCTGATATCGTTTTTTGTTTTCATCTTCTTTGGACGACGAAAAAACGATCTGGGCAGTTGAGATATAACTTTTTTTTTAAAAAAAAAATAGCTGATATCCTTTTTGTTTTCATCATCTAAGGCTGAAGATTAGGCTGCATGATGCACCCCAAAAATTTTGCATGTATCACAGTTTTCATGAGTAGAATTACATAAATATCAACCCAAGTTCTGTTCAATAGAGTAAAGTAAATGCTTTCTTTTCTGTATGCATTATGCTCGTTTCATTGTTAAAATTTGTACTTTACCAGTGCTTTTTGCTGCATTGTAGTTGGATCTTGCTTTCTGACGAGAACTGAAACCCAACTATATGATTTATTTATTTCTTTTTTCTCTTTTCTATTTGCCTGACAGGTTAGTCATCGTCCATTATGACAAAAGGATTAAAAAAAAAAGCCACAACATTAAAAGTTTTAAAAACAAGATGGATAAACAGATATGCAGGTTGTTTCGAAGTTAGAGATTTATGCATCAAATCCTTCTTGGAGAGCAATAACAAAGTAAGTGCATATTAGTAATTAGTTATTAATCATTAAAAAAAAAAAAAAAACCTTCTAGTTTTGAGCCTCTCTTTCTCCAACTTTGCTTGTAAGCAACTTTTACAAATTACATCATATTTCTCAGCCGCCACCTTTTACAAATCACTCATCTTTTCACTTGTCAAATACAGATTCCACAACTGCTAAAGAATTACTAGGAATTACTAGGAATATATAAGTTCATATATATATATGAGACATTTTTTGATAAATTAATATATTTAAATTTTTTGTCCGTTAAATTTATATAAGTTCACATAAAAATTAAAAAGTACGCAGATACAATGATTAGAAAAACTTAATTACGTACCAGAAAAATTTCCATAGAGAGGAAATGAGAATTGTTTTTTAATAGGTAGAGAATCTGTTTTGAGTGGTGAAGATTGAGATCTGATCCCATGTCCACTCTATGACAAAGTGCAGAAGAACTTTTCTTGATGATCCACCAACAATAGTAAGATCTCGTCAATTTCAGTAAGGGACATCACTCCAAATCAAACTGCACCCAGAGAAAAAGTAACAACAATAAAATCCAATAATAAAAAAAGTAACAACAGGAAAAAAATAAAAAAGATGGGGTAAAGTAAATATGTACCTTGTATGATCATAAAATAAATAAAATCACAACAAAAAGAAGAATAGAATAGTAAGGAACCTTGAAAGTTGGTCTGAAATTCTCTATTTCAAAGTTAGTGTTTGTCATGTTTAATTAAGTGGCCTAATTTAAATAATTAGTGAACTAATTAAAATAGCTCCATGCAGAAGAAAAAAGAGCATCACTAATCTGTTAAGTCTAATTAATCCTAATGAGATCTTAAAATGCAGTATTTAACGGCTAAATATCATGATCTGCAGAGCATCTTAAGGGCATGAATTTGCTAATGGGATTGCAATATTGGAAATGTGCTTTAAATATAAAAAACAGTCCAAGGCATGAATAAAACCATGTGGGCATGCCTAGGCCTCAGTAATGCTCTGTTGTCAATCCCTTGTTTATGTAATGATGAAAAGTTGAGAGTAAAAGCACCAATATCACTTTTTGGTAATGCCCGGAGGCTGGAGCCACCAAAAAAAAAAAAAAAAAAGATTTTTTCTTTTCCATTTTAGTGAGACAAAGGGTGGTCTAAATAACTTCTTGTGGGAATTCTATCTATCATTTCCAACAAAGCATAAGTTCCTTGATTATATTTTAAATAAATAATAGAAAAAAGATTCTTCAAGATTTGCTTAGAATAGCCTACTTGGGATGGCTTGTAAATATTATATGTCACACTTAATTGTCATCACTACTTTGTTTCAGTATGTACTATGGTGTTGTACTATTTCATTTCCCACTGCATTAGAGTGCATGATTAGACCCAAAAAAAAAAAAGAGAATGGTAAATTTATAACTAAGAAGAGAAGATTTACATGATCTAAAGCAATAACAACAGTCTGCAAAACCATTGCTGAGGAAGCATGCCTAATCATACATATGGGCCTCAATGTTCTTGATGGACAAAGGTATGTATTAGTACATGCTAGAAATGTAGATCTTTTTGAAGGGTTTTTGTTAGGTCTTTGACCTGCCAACTTAACTATTGATTGGATCCAATAGCAAAAGTTCCATCTCTCATCTCAAGAAAAGAAAACGTAGTCGTTAGATTTTCATCAAGTTATGTTAAATTATCTTATTTTCTTCTAATATAATATGTTTCTAATGTGATTTAATGTTTTAAATCTGTATTTTACCAATGTAACAGAATTGTTTGAGAAAAGGACAATTATAACAGTTAGCGAAAGAAGCAAAGTTGCAGTAAGTTAGAAAGTTCATCAGTTGCTTTTTCATAACATATCTACCAAAACAATCACTCATTACTTATCATCCAAGTAATGAATTGAGCAGTTTGAGCAACATTCTGATCTTAGCATTGGGAGGATATTTGATGATGATGTTTGGGCCCATGGTTGGAGAACGAAGACAAATGGGCCTCAGTGCAAGATGAGGGGCCCATGCTTTAGTGGAGAGAGATGGGCTTGTCCCATCATTGAAAAAGAGGGAATATATACCATCATGTAATTTTATTTCCAACGCTCATTGTTGCCGGCTTTCTATTTTATTAGCAACAAAGTTAACATTATTAATATGCTCTTTCCCCAATCTAAAACGAATGATTAAGTATCCCTCACACCCTCTTTTCAGACCATTATGGAAATATAAAACATAAATTAATAAAAATCTTCTCATCTGCCTTTTTTTTTAATTAATTAAGTAGCACTTCTTCTTCTTCACAATCCCAGAGGCAAAAGTTTAAGGTTTATTTCTTTATTCCCCACCCTTCAAAAGAACATTTTATTTTCCCTCCTCTCTCTCTCTCTCTCTCTCTCTCTCTCTCTCTCTCTCTCTCTCTCTCTCTCTCTCTCTCTCTCTCTCTCTCTCTCAATAACCAAGAGAGGTTATCTAATCTCTCACTCCCCATAATCACAGTGAATAAGGGCCTTTCCAAATCTCCTATCATCTCTTTTTGGGCAAAGTAATCTCTAGTTTGTCTCTCTGAAACTATCTCATCACAAAGTTCTAGGTCTCCACGAAAAAAACAGCACTCAACTTTGCCCTTTGTACTTGTTCTACATATATACATATACATACATATATATATATATATATAAGAGGAACAAAAATCTGCTTGAGTAGTACTGTATCTCTAGTACTGATCATCATCATCAACATCATGGGTGTTCCTCAATCTCCAACTCCTCCTCACCTTTATCCACAAGCACTTCAACTAAAGCTTTATCAGGCCTTCATATTCTCAATTCCTATCCTCTTCTCCATCATTCTCTTTCTCTTGTTTTACTTGTTTTATCTTAAAAGAAGGGCTTCCAACAGTACTAGTATTTCTTTCCCTCCACTCCCACGTCCAAGAAGATCTCATCAAACTACTACATATGTTTCCTCGGTAATAGTAATACCTCTCTCTCTCTCTCTCTCTCTCTCTCTCTCTTGTTTTGTGTTAATATAGGCATATAAGTATATTGTGCATGCAAAACAAAAGTAGAAACAAAAAGATCAGCAGTCAGTCTTTCATAACATATATGCACATGTGACATGTATATGCATGTATGAGTATATAGATAGATAGATATATACATATATTTATATATATTCTATGCATATATATCGTGCATATTCCTCAATTGTGTACATTTCACTTGCTGATCAACTTTAAATATCATACATGCATGCTTATATATACAGCAGCTTAATTATTAATTTACATAACTCCGTTGATGAGGAACAAGAAGAATACACATACAAAAGGAGTTTTAAGTTTAAATTCCTAATATTTTATAATAGGTTTAGTAAGTTTTCTCAAAACTATTTCAGTAAGTTTCATATTAGCGAGAATTAGATAGTTTCAATTATTTGTTAGCTTACTTTTCTTGTTATTTACTTCCCATAAATTGGGTAGAGTTTGTCATTGTAATTGAGACTTGATTAATTAATGAAATTGAATATTCAGCTTCTCTCTTTTGTCTAATTTTATTTTTGTACCTATATATTGTGTATAGCCTTGTCAGTTTGATTTGAAGGTGGAGCTCAAAGATGAGCTTCCGATAGTTTTATTTGATGAGGAATTGAGGAAAAGGGATTCTCAGTAAGTTATTCTTTCTAATTTCTTTAATGTTCCACTTTCCAATATTCTTTCCCATTTACTTTTGGTGCTCAAAAAGTTTGTTTTTACGGTCTTTTTTTTGGAAACATTACCGTGGTCCATTATCAATCATGCCCTACATACATGTGCACAAAATAGTGTCACACACACACATATATATATATATATATATATATATCACAAAACGCCGGGTGGAAGTTGAAAAGGGCTAGTTTCAATGAAAAATATATATTTGACCACTAAGAAAAAGTTGATTTTCCACCATGAACTCCTAGACCCTTATCAGGGGACTACACAGAAAATTCCCCAAGATCTTGTTGGGACTTATTCTTTTGCAACCAGTGATGGTCCTTAAAGAAGTAGCTAGTTAGGCACAACTTATCATGTTCTTTTCCACATGTCCGAATCTTTCATGACATCCACTATTTTCTATTAAAAAAAAAGTGGGATTTTGAGAGACAGCGATAAGGAAGTAGATATGTTAGAAATGACATCTAGGGAGGTGACAAACATTAATAAAGTTGAAAAATAAAAATTAATACATGATTTGTGTACATCAACTTTTCAAGATTCTTCAATTGAAGTGTTTTAGTTTGTGTCAAGTCCTACTCAAGTGGATAAGGAGAAAATAATGAAATCACTGCATTTTGTGCTTGTTTGGCCAATACTTTTCAGGAGTTTTTGCTTTGTGTTTTCGTTTGATAGTAGAATTCTTATCTTCAGAGCTTTCTACGTCAGAAATGACCTACCAATAGTGCATTTTTTTCAATTTTTTACGAGTCAAAATAACATCAATAAAAAATAATCTGATCTTGCATATTCAACGGTTGCAAACATAGCTCTATTGGTAGGTATTTTTAAGCAACGAATACTATTCTCCAACTTTTCACTTACATTGCCAAATTGACAAGCTAATTAACGATAGGATTTGTTAATTGATTATTGGATCAGATGCTGTGTTTGCTTGGGAGAGTTTGTGGTGAAAGAGGAGTTGCTCCAAGTCCCATCATGCAAACACATTTTCCACATAGACTGCATACATCTTTGGCTGCACACAAACACAACTTGCCCACTTTGTAGATGCTCAGTCCTTCCCGCTGCACCCAAACTCGACGTTCACCCTTATCCGATGCCCCCGCCGCCTAGCATCATCTCCGAGCCACCCGCACCGTCAGGTAGTGGTACCAGGTTATCTCAGTTGTCCAATCATTCCGACATTGAGAGTACGATGCCGATTTCCGAGCCAGGATCAGTTGTTATCTATGTCCAAACACATGCACATGAGGCAAATTGACATGTTTTTTGTGTTTTTTTTTTGGAATAATTGAGAAGGCATTAATTTCTTTGCTGCATGAATGCCTGTACGAAATGAGTATTAGACAACATCTTTTCTTGCTACAATTTTCGCCGGCAACCTATCCGATTCCGGGGGTATTCAGTTTTGTAGATCACAGATCCTTCATCTAAATATGTCTGCAAAGTCAGATATTGAAAATGAATGTCATCTCTTATTGTCTATTACATCAGATCTTGTAAATAGTAATTTGTCCTTTCCTTTTTTTTTTTTTTTTTTTTTTTTTTTTTTTTTTTTTCTTGTTTTCTTGCTGTATAAGTGGAAGTTTCATCAAACCCCTATTAGCTTCTACACCTCTGGTAGCAACCTCCGAAGACATGAACAAAGTATCAATGGCGAAACCAGACTACCAACTATTGGTTCAGTATATATTACACAAACACACACACTATATACATACATACATATATACACACACACGCGCGCGCGCGCGCGCATACATACATACATATGTATCATGTATATTAATTTCTATTATTCTTATTATTTTAATTTTTAGAAAGGAAATATAGAAAAATAAGAAAGAGCAAAGCTTCTCAACTTAATTCCTTGGAGGCTAAAGGTAGCAGCTTTATAAATAGTCCAACGTGTGTGTGTGTGTGTGTGTAAAATGTCTCTCTTTAATGAGTGATCACGATGAATAATATCACACTCCAAACCCAAAGATTTCCTTGGTCATGTTTGTTACTTTGCTTATGATCTTCAACTATTTTAATGATCATTTTGACTAATGGATAGGGATCTTCAAGAGTTAATGCACGCAAATCTTCAAGTACTAAAATGTTTTTCTGTTTTCCGGTGAAAAAAAAGAAAAAGGTTCTTTCTTTGATAATGTACCTTTATCAAAACACCACATCTACCAGTATTAATGCAATTCTTGTCCATTGGTTATCTCAGAAAGGAGATATTTATTTAGTTATTATTATTATTATTATTATTATTATTATTAATTAGCTCACTAGTATCCAAATCAATATATATATATATATACACACACACACACACACACACAAATATCTAGCCCCATTAGCTCACTAGTATCCAAATCAATATATATATATATACACACACACACACACACACACAAATATCTAGCCCCTCAATCAATGCTGCTCATTAATTGATGTAATTTCCAGATAAATGATGTGAAGGTGAAAATTACTCATTCTGTGGGAGGAATTGAGAATACATGTCCTTGTGATAGAATTTTTATGAGAACAAAGAGATGACTGAAAAATCTACACAAAAATGTGTATGTAATTTTGGCGTTCAATTCACAATGATGTTTTTAAAATAATAAAAAAGGTAAATAAATAAATGGACTTTAATACTTTTACTTCTGTTGACGGCAAAAAATGACCATCTTCAGAGGAACCGAACCTCTAGATTCAGATCCGATTCTAAAAGATTAGAATACCATCAACGAATTAATTAAAGTGAAAATAAAGAGATAATTCAAGAATTTAGAGTGATTCGACCCAATATGGCCCACATCCACTATGATTTTCATTAAATTTCTGAGATTAATACATGAATTCTCTCTTACATGCTCTCTTTACATTCATGGTAAGTAAGGAAAAGAAAATAAAGTCTCTTCTGAGAGTGAGAGTTCGAACCTCTCACTCGTCTCCTCTTTTTGTATTTATAGGTCATTTCTCTTGAGTAACCGTCCCCCGTAGGTGTAATTGTCCAACCCACGTTTTCCTTTCCATTCTTCTCATTTCCTTCCATATGTGACCTCTTGCCTCCCTCATTTGTAATCCATACCTCGTGGGATTACTGACATTGTGATTTCCTTATTCCCCAAGTGAAAGAGTTAGTGATTTCCAGGCTCCTCCTCGGATCCAAATTCTCTATTTCCTGTCCACATGTAGCATGACGGTTACTCGAGCATATCCTCATAAACTGGATGATGTAGGATGGTTGATGAGGTAGCAACAACTAAACAATCACTTAACCAACTAATTTCCAGTCGCTATCATTACTGCCCACCCAAAAGACACCTTGTCCTAAAGGTGTATGTTAAGAAATCACAACCGTGTGACTCCACTCCCTTCTTATGTTGATGAGCTTGGATCTTGGAACGACGAATGGGATGTTTTGTACAGAACTTGCTTCAAATTTTCCTGTTGACTTCTTAATTTTTCCTACTTCACACCTTTTTTTGCAGCAACGATTGAGAACCATTTGGGAGTCAACGTAGCCAATCAGCTCATCCCAAGAATCATCATTGTAACAGTGTAAGACGTGGCTAGTCATCTCAAATAGGTCAAGTACCACAAACATATGCCTGCGACCACCTTTATCTTGTTGCAGCATATGCTCCACCTTTTTCAAGAAAAAGCTTTCTTTAACTCCTCGTTCTTGTTCAACAGATGAAGAAGCTACAATGACTTGGCCCTTTCATTCCACAATTCTTCAAGCCCATCGTCTTTATTTTCGAGTGGAGAATCCTCTTCATCTGCAACACCTTTGTTCGCCTTTCCCATCGGCAAACCAATTTTCCAAGATGCAACAAACACCTCAAATTTTTGTCTGCAATTAGCCATGGTAGCATCTTGTTGATTATCTACGAATTTCTCATGTAAGGGCTTTTCTTCCATTGATCGAAAGTGCGTTAGTAGACGAGCCTTGAATTCATTCCAACTAAAAAATGGTTGAGGGTTGTCCTCCCATTGATACCAAGTCAATTCATCGCCCTCCATAGCCACTCCGGATGCCAAGAGTTTTTCACAATCAGAATATCCGTTAACTGCAAAAAATCTTCTGCTCCAAATATCCAGCCATCCGGGTCTTTGCCAATGAACACCGACATCTCCAACCCACATTGTCGCCGACTCAATACTTCATCAAGAACATTGTCTGCCACATTTCTTTCCCTGAGCAAATTCTTTGGATTGACTACGTGTCCAAATCGCAAAACCCCAACTCTCTCACTCTGATCAGATTGCAAAACCCAATCTCCCTCACGCAAATCACATCGTGAAACCCCTATTTCTACACCCAATTCCACCTTAGTCATACTGATCTTTGTAGACCCAGCTCTAATCTCTCTAGACTTTACATTAGACATCCCTGTCCCCCCCACTAATGTTGGAATTTGCGCTGAAAGTCCCTGTCTCAACTCCAATCTTGCTAATATGGTTAGGCCCAGCCCCAAGCATGCTGGAATTAGTGCTGAAAATTTGGGCTGGGTCAGACGGGGCGGCCTGAAGCCCGTTACTGTGGGCCCGGGGCTCGGCCCAAATCCGTACAAGCCCGAGTCCGGCCCGGCCCAAGTGTAGGGCCGGGCTGGGCCGTAATTCCAGGCCCGCAGGCGGCCCGAGCCCGGCCCGGAGAGCCCAAATAGCCTGAATTTTGTTTTTTTTTGGGTCTTTCGGCCTAAGGCCTAGGCTGCCCAATTTTTTTTTCTTTTTTGGGTCTTTTGGCCCAAGGCCAAGCCTGCCCAACGGTAATATTATCGTTGGGTGGGCTGACTCATAGCCTTCTTGGCAGAGGGCTGCAGGCTGCAGCCCTCTGCAAAAATTTTTTATTTTTTGGGCCAAGGCCCAAGGCCAAGCCCTACCCAACGGTAATATTACCATTGGGTGGACTGACTCATTGCCGTGAGGCAGTGAGTCTAATGGCCTTCTTGGCAGAGGGCTGTAGGTTGCAGCCCTCTGTCAAAATTTTTTTTTATATATATTTTTTTTTTATTTTTTTGGGCCAACGGCCCAAAGCCAAGCCTACCCAATGGTAATATTACCGTTGGGTGGGCTGACTCACTGCCGTGAGGCAGTGAGTCTAATGGGTAATGGCCTTCTTGGCAGAGGGCTGCAGGTTGCAGCCCTCTACCAAATTTTTTTATTTTTTATTTTTTATTTTATTTTTTTAGGCCAAGGGTCCAAAGCCAAGCCTACCCAATGGTAATATTACCATTGGGTGGGCTGACTCACTGCTGTGAGGCAGTGAGTCTAATAGCTTGGCAGAGGGTCTGCCAAATTTTTTTTATTTTTTATTTTTTTGGGCCAAGGGCCCAAAGCCAAGCCTACCCAACGGTAATATTATCGTTGGGTCGGATGACTCATTGCCATGAGGCAGTGAGTTTTATAGCTTGGCAAAGGGTTGCAGGCTGCAGCCTTTTGCCAAATTTTTTTTTTTTTCATTTTTTTTCTCCCTTTAAAATTTTTAAATCTTGTCTATAAATACTCCCTCTATTAATCCATTTTTTTCATACAACACAATTTTCACTCTCTCTATTCTCTTCTCATTCTCTAATTTTTTCTCAACTCTCAATTCTCACTCATTAATTCTCTCAATTTTGTTATTTCATTTTTGTTCAAAAAAAAAAGTTTGTGATTCTCTAATCTCTACTCTAGTCTCTACTTCAATAGAAAATGGAACTAAATATGTATAGGTATGGTCTTGATGGTGTTGACTACTATGGAGTGGATGATCAAGACATTAAGGAAGCAACAATTCAACAAATGGAGACGGGTGACCAGGGAGACGGGTGACCAAGTAGGTGACATGCCACAAAATATCAATATTTAACCGAATCAACCCTCAGAAATGCCGACGGGCTCAAGTGGTTCAACATCATCAACGACAACAAAACATTCGAGACAACGTGCAGAATGTTAGAAATACTTCACTACACAAGAGAAAATTGACTCTGGAGGTAAGAAAATAAAATTAGCTACATGTATATATTGTAAAAAAGTGTTGACAGCAAATTCTATGAGTGAAACTCGACACTTGAGAGATCACGGAGTTAAATGCGCTAGACTACATCAAGCCAGGACGGAGCCTACACAAACTCAACTTCAATTAAACCCAGATGGTTCGGTAAGTACTTGGTCCTATAATCCTCAAGTTGCTAGGGAATCTTTATGTCGATTTATTTCTGCTTTAGATTTACCTATTAACCTTGGTGATAACCCACATTATGAAGCGCATATTCAACGTGCATATTGTCCTCAATTTCAAAAAGTTTCTAGAACTACTACTAGGAGTGATATGATTACATACTATGAGAAAATGCGTCTTGCATTAATAGCTGAAATAGGTGCA